GGCCCCCTCGCCGCTTCCGTCGAGGGGGCGTCGCGGCGTCGGGCGCGGGCGCGGGCAGCGGCGTGGCTGTGTGCCCCGCATGCTCGCCACCGCCGCGCGCAGCATGCCTTCGGCGGCACGCGCCAGGCGCAATCTTGCATCGGAGCGCCACGCCGCGAGCTCCGCTGGCGCGCGTGCTGCCAATAACGCTACGCGGGCGGCTTCTTCGGCATCATGAAGGCCGCCGCTGCGGTCAGAGCCCTCGCGCGCCGCTGGGGGGTGGAGCTGGCGGATGTCTTGCAGGCGGTCTGGGCGCGCCAGCTCTGGACGTCGCTCGGCGCGGAGGCGGCCCCGCTTGGCGAGCGCGCGGCCCTGGCCACCGAACTGGCCGGCTGAGCCGACACGGGGGCGGGCGGAACATGCTCCTCCGGGCGGTGGGGCTGTTCCACCAAGGGGTCGCGCAGTCGGCGGGACTCCGAGGGTGATGAGGGCGCAGATCGAGCCCGAGGTGCCGCAGGATTTTTTTGCTTCGGACGGCGGGTAGTGCAGCCCACAAACACCCCAACGGGCGGGCGAGACCCGAAAGGGGAAACAATCTTTAGTTGGACGAGTCTCCGTCGACGGCGCAGGCAGGGACCAGAGGACACTCCTCCTCCTCCTCCTCCTCCTCCTCCTCCTCCTGGCAAAGGACCTCGGATCTCCTCCTCTAAGGAATCTCGCCACCCGTCGGTGGGGCCGCTGCGCTAATTGCTCGGTCCCGACAAGAAGAGGGCAGCGACAGCTCCGTTCTCTTCGAGATCGCGGAGGTCGCGTGGCGGTTGGTCCCCAGGATCGGTTGATATACCAAATCCTGCACCGCCCGCTCAACCGGGGCGACGGCGCAACCTTTCACGCGCCCCCCTGCCCCCGATTCAATTCTGATTGGCTGCGCCCGCGGGGTGCAGGATTTAGGCCAGTCGGCAGACCGACAAATCGCGCCACAACCTGAAATTGGTGGCGCGGGGGGCAAGAACAAACATGGGGAAAAAGGCGCAGGATTTTGTCCATCAGCCGGTCCACCAGGTATCCAGCAGCACGGTCGCCAACCTCATCGGACGCATCATGCCCGCCGAGCCGACCCACCTTCCCGCCCCCCAGACCTCGGAGAACGAGGGGGGGCGCACGAGCAGGTCGCCCTAGTAGAACCGTGCATGACACACACCGTGGAAGGACACCCGTTAGGCGTTATAGTGCAGCAGGCAACGTAGCGGACACGACTTGGTCAGGACTGCCCAGCGTGTGGTCCCCCCCCACGCACACACGCACACACGCGCACCGCGGAAGGGTCGACCGTGGCCCGTGCCCTCCTGGGTGGAGCCTCAACATATCCCGTGGGTTGCTGTTCTTCAGGCTCGCGCTTCGTGTCGGGGTTCCCGAGCTGCCCCGCCCCCCGACGTCCTCATGTAACTGCACTTGTGGCGAATGCAGAGGAGAGCAGTCGAGTGCAACGCAGCGGTGACCGAGCTCCTGACGCCTGACTCGCTTGTTTCGAAACAAAAGCAGCATGATACAGCCTTCCAGGAGGCTCGGAAGAGGGCGCGCCACGCCTCCCTCGCAGTCGCGCAGCACGCAGCCAGTGGCTCCCCGCCCAGGTTTGCTGATGGCTGGGCGGGGCCTGCTGGCCTGCTCAGTGGCAGCAGGCGGAGCAGGAAGACGCGCCGAAGCCGATCATCATCTTCTTCCGCGTCTTGTCTGATTGTTCGGCAAGGGCCGAAGTTGACCCTTGGCTTCGGCTTCCTCGTTGTCTTAGCTTTCTTCGGGAATGACTGCAGTCATCGTTGACTCTTCGCGTGGCAGGCGGATCAGGAATGCGCGCAATATCAGGGCCAGGGGCCGCGCTATGCCACGACGCCAGAAGCTTGCGCTCAAGACGACCCGCAGCTCTCGCGACGGCATAGGACCAGCCAAGGCCGTCGAATTCCGCGGGGGGCGGCAGAGGATACAAAGGAGACCACATCTTTAGCAGCGGGGTCGGCCCACGTATTGTCCTGTCGCAGGTGAAGGTCTTCGGCGCCCCCAGCCCCCTCAACATTCAAATCCGCCTTCGCTGTCGTGGCGCTTACTTTGGCGGATTGCTCTTCCAAAAACGGCGCGGTGCAGGCGTGCGTTCTTGTCGAAGAAACCTGCTTGGCGGATGGGGCGGCGAAGTCCACGCGGCCCTTGCAGTCGGAACGAAGCAGTGCTGGTCCCAGTAGCCCACTGAACTGTGCTCGGCAGCCTGGGGCGACTGGGGGCAGGGCGCCCGCGTTGGACCGCGACCCCGCGCATTTTCACCCCGTGATTGGATGGGTCAGCGCAGCGGCCCGCCCAGCGCGCTTCAGTTCTCCCGCCGTGTGCCGAGTCCGCGACCTTTCGAGTGCGACGCTGCTGTCCCCTTCGACCCCTCCCACCCACTCCGCCTGGGTGTCCCCCTTCTTGGGTGGCGCGGGGAACGAGTCAGCGGGGTGCGGGGAGACGCCGAAACAGGTCTGGTTGCCGTCGGCCTCATTTGCCCAACTCTTAACCTTCTTAGTGACTCGGCTGTCTCTAAGGGCCGCGCATTCGGGATCCTGGCATATGCAGATTCTTTGTTTCAGTATTGTGTCTAGGACCAGGCCGCAGCGAGCGCGCGGCGTGGGCGGCAGCGCGTGATCCGAGCTGGCAGCGCGGGATCGCGTGTGAATGGCGTTGTCAAAAAGAGCCCTGAGACATCCGTTATGAAGCGGAATGTACTTGGAGTTGCCGATGCAGTTGAGCACAGGACCGATGCGCGCGCGGCAATGCATACCTAGCTTCGCCCCTCTGTCCCGCCCCGCCCGCCTCGACCCAGCCGTGTGCGGGGGGGCGCGAATGAGTTTGGGTGAGAATTCCGTGAGCTTAAGCGCGTCGCCCGGATCAGTGACCATCCCCCGAAGCGACGTCATATTTAAAGGCGTGCGTTCCACGGGCGTTCTTAGGGCCGTGACAGGCGATTGACCAGAAACGCCAGTTTCCCACGTGGGTTCACAGCTTTCCAAGGAGCTTCCAACTCCTTGAGCTTCAGCGTGTGAGAATGCACGTGACGGCGAGCCCACCACACTTCTTCGGTCCACCTGCAAATGGGAGATCGATGCATAATCATACCATCGCTGATCCTGATGCAAGAGTAACAACTCCGCAATCGGGCCAGATTGTCTGCGCACCCTTTCTTTGATGCACATGTGCTTCTCCGCATTCGCATTGATACCCTCAACTCTGCGCGGCCTGCCAGCGCGCGCGCGCCCGCCCCAAGGATTGGCGCCGAGCTGAGCAATGGCCCTGCAAGCCTTCAGGCTTGTCGGCACGGGCCGCCCCCAGTGCCTCAGACAGACATGCCGGCGATCGCTTGCCCGCGCCCCTGCTGGCCTTAGCTCCCGCCCCCTCCTCCGACACCTTGACGAGCAGGCGCGCCATCGGTGGCAGACTGGGAACGATGTAGTCGGCAGAGCCCGTGGTTCCGCGAACCAGATTGTCGATGTACAGCATACTGGGCATCTGCAGGTGGGTGTTCAATTTGTCCAGATTTTGGGCCGCGCGCGCCCGAGTGGCGCTGGTGGCAATCGCGCAGCCCGCGATGATGCGCCCCCTGACCCAGAACGGGCCGTCGACGAACCCTTTGATCACAGGCAACTTGGCTCGAATGTAAATCGCGATCGCGAGCCTTGTTTTTGCCGGCGGCGCTTCCATCTGGCGGCAGAGGAGGGTCAGCAACATCTGGAGAGTGAGCGTCTCGTAAGACTTGTGCAAATCCAGGGGCTCGCTCTGCGTGGCGGTTTCGGCGCGGGCGGCTCGTCTCCAGACCGCAGATGCCCCCCCAGCCCCCCCCTCAAAGAGGGCCCAAACCAGCGGCGATGTGCCCTCGATCCAGCCGAAACTCCCACTCTTGGCCCAGGGGCCAACGGACCTTGCCGCGGGCGCGGTGCACGTCACAAGCATTACCTGCAGCAGCAAGGCGAGCACTCCATCGCCCATGGACGGGAAATGATCAATGCAAACTCCGCCCACGTTGACCGATGTGTTGACTTTGCAATTTCGCTAGAAATCTCGTATAGCTTCAACAGGGGCGGGTTGGAGCACAGGCGCCAATTCCCCCAACCCAAGCCAAGGAACCTCATTAGACCCACCCCATGTTTTAGATACATACGAGGAATCCGCTTTCAAGAGTGAGAGATGGTCCACCATCGCCACCACTTCAATGGGAGATGGACGTGGTGGGGTCCCATGGCGTAGCCCTTCTAGAGGCCGTGTGCCTTGTGAAGGAGCCATTCACGCCATTTCTTATTCGACAAACTCTGGCCTCCAGCTCGACGGTCGCCAGGATGCCCTGAAAGCTCGCCACCAGGTGGCCGAACAAGTCGTTGAACGGCCTTCTTCGAGCTCGTACATCGGCAGCTCCACGACAAAGTTTCGCAACGTGGGCAGGGGGCTGGCAGCAGGCCCTAGGTGCGTGGCAAATTTAGGTGTGGATTCCAGCTGCGCAAGACTGCCGTTGATGTCCGCTTGGCTGACTCGGGCCCAGTGGCCCTCGAAGGTGCAACACATGTTGGCGAGCCGCCTGCAGGCAACACGCTCGTCATTCCACTTACTCGTTTGCTTGGCCAGGGTCGACCTCTACATCATTTGTGGGGTTTTGCCCCTAGCACCCCACAGAGGGAGGACCTGCAAGTGGCAGCGGCAACCTCACGCGCGGCAGCGTTGGCCCAGTGACGCTAGGCCCTGAAAAGGAGGAGGGGGAGGAGGAGGAGGAGGAGGAGGAGGAGGAGGAGAAGGAGGGGGAGGAGGAGAGGGAGGAGGAGGAGGAGGAGGAGGAGGAGGAGGAGGAGGAGGAGGAGGAGAAGGAGGAGAAGGAGGAGAAACTGGAGGAGGAGGTGATTCCTCGTCCTCCATCCCATCTTGTCCCTTCACTCCCATCTTGTCCCTTCACGATTCCGCCGACGACGGACAGTATTCACCAGTCCCCTTCGCCGACAGCGTCCGTTCCGCAGGACCTTGGGTGGGCGCAGTGCAATGCGAGCTGCGAGGAGGGCGCGGTCTGGTCCTCACCATGGGGGGGTGGGGGGGGGCGGCTGCCGCGACAATAGAATGCGAAGGCGGCGACGACAGCGGCGGTGACGGCGTCAGCGGTGACGACGTGGATCGAGGTTTCTGGGTGTCTTTATGTTTTTTTGCGTGTCCAAGAGGCTTCTTGTCGCCACGGCTGGATTCCCCACTGAATCTGGGTCAAAACTCACCCTAGGAGAAACCCAGGGCTCGGTTTTGAGAAAGAAGACCGAGACCTCCAATGTTCTGGAAAGATCAGGGTGTATTTATTTTCGCACGTTTCGCCCTCTATCGGCCAGTTTCTGGGACCCAGGATTGTCAAAAACAATCCAAGCTGAAAACCAATTCCTGCGAAGGGGTCGAGAGTTTCTGGGCCCAAGCATTGATGATTATCCCAAGCATCCATGCTTCGGGGACGGTGGCGACGGTGACGACGAGGACCCCCGAAGGATTCTGTGGGTTCTGGACGTTCTCGGAGATCTCTGGAGGATCTCGGAGGGTTCCGAAGTTTCTCGGAGGCACGCTCATGGGGGCATGGGGGCATTTGTCACGAGGACGACGACGACGCCTCCCCCGATCCGTCAGACCCGGGCGTCATACAAAAGCCGAGGCCCGATTTTTTCTCTTGTCTTCGGGACCTGTGGCTCTCGTCGGGGGTCGATCTGGCCTGGGAATGTGCCGCAGAAAGACTGGGGCAACACTCAGCTCCAGTCGTGGTCTCCTCTTGAAAGTCGTTTCTTGGGGGTGCCGCGGCTGTCCAGGATTCGATCGATTCGATGACAGAGGTGGCGGAGCAGGGCTGGGCCCAAACGCTTTTGCTGGACTTCGGCCGTGCTTTTTTCGTTCTGGAAGGGAGGTGCAGGAATACAGGTAGAGCAAATCGAAACACAAAACGAAAACAATACGAAAAACAACGTTTAGGTCGAGCCCTGTGGAGGAGGATGAGGGGGAGGGAGGGGATGACCTTCGATATATTTTGGGCCCCTGTGTGGGTTCCGTCGGCACGGCCCCTCGACTCCTGGACAGCTCGTTGGATGTTCGACCTTGACCACTGTACACGCCTTTCGTTGAAAGTAGGTATTCTTGGATTCCCAGATCCCAATCTACTTTTGGCGCCATCCTACTTCAAGAATCGAGTGGCTTTCCATTTTCCTTCTCCTTCAGGGGATGGGCGGGGACCCAATCTACTCCCAACGCCTTCCTGCCTCCTGGTTCTCCCCTCGTCTTCCGATCGGCGTGTGCGCTGATCCATATGGTACTTGGGGGCCACAGGGCCGCGGGCCCTGCTGGAAACCACGGCGGGCGACTGCCCGCACCTCGTGCCCGAGGCTGCACCGCAAGGGCGTGTGCTACGGGGCCCAGAGGCACACCACCACCACCTCCCTCTTCCCCTCCTCCTCCTCCTCCTCCTCCTCCTCCTCCTCCTCCTCCTCCTCGTCCTCCTCCTCCTCCTCCCACTCCGATGACAGAGGCGAGGAAGGTGCGGGTGGAGGCGGGAGGAGGCACCGACGTGGTGGTGGTGGGGTCTATTCCGGGGGCCCGCATGTGCAGCGCACTCTGTGCGCCTTTGCCCCTCGCAGGGCCAGCACGGCTGCCCCGCCGCCGCACGGGGCGGCTGCCCCTGCGGCCGGCCGCCGGGCGATCTCCTGGGGCTTTGGGCGGCCCCCTCGGGGCAGCTCGAGCAGGCGCAGCCGCGCTCCCGTGCTCGCCAGCCTGTCCCCGCGCGCTCGCCGCGGCCCCGCTGCGTGAGAAGTGCCCCCCCCCCGCGCCCAGCTCCCCTCTCCGCGGCCGCCGCCTCGCCTCCCTCCCCCCTCCCCTCTTGCACGCGGGCTCATTCGCGGCGCCGTGCCCCCGGTCTCGCCCTGACGCGCGTGCGGGTTGCCCCTGCCGCGCTGCGACGCAAAAAGGTCGGCGTGCAGGGCGCGCTTCTGGGCCTCGGGCCGTCAGAGGCGACCTGGGGTGCCCCTGTCAGTATTGGTTTGCCGATGCCTATCCCCATGTCCATTCCCCGATGGCCACCACCTCACCGCCACAGTGGGGGATGTGCCCCTCGAGACCCGAGGGGAAAAGCCTGTATCCCCATCAGGGGGGGGGTAAATCGGCCAGTGGGACCAAGGCCACGCCCGTGGAGATAGGGATCGGCGAAACGATGCTCATCACGAGATCTCAGCGCGCACTCGTGTGCAGCCAGGGAGCGGGGCTCGATGGGCGGGGCCCTGTGGTCACGACGTCTCGGCGCACACTCGTGCGCAATATTCCATGGAGCAGGATCCCGCGGGCGGGATCCCATGGCCGCGGTACATCTCCGCGCACGCTCACGCCCAGTTACCCGGAGAGGGATCAAGAAAACGAGAAGTTCGAGGAAACGCGAATATGGATAAGTGCGTGGATTTGCGACGGGTCCCGTTTCCATACAGAATCGGCGCGTTCCGCCACCAAATCGGGCGGTACTGGCGCCATTTCTCGGGGCTACCTCCCCCGATCCATGGATCTGGCGACCGCGCACCAGATCCACGAATCTCTAGTCCATGTTAGCGTGCGCCCGATAAGTGGAAACACGTTTGGGCCCTGCGCGTCCACTCGGCGCTGGGGTGTGCCCCGCGTTCTTTTCTCCTTTCTCCTCCCCCTCCTCTTCTCCTCCCATCCCCGCCTCTGCCCTCCGTACGTCCGTATCGTCACCATAGTCATCAACGCTATCATCATCACCATCACGATCGGCATCCTGTTCCTATTTCGGCCCTCCCATGTGAATTTCGGCACCCCTCACACGTTTCGTGGACCCCAGTGGCAGGGTCCGCATAGCGCCACCAGCGCCGCCGAATGCCCCAGTGGCAGGGTCCGCATGGCGCCACCGCATCCACTTCGGCACACCCCTCACACGTTTCGTGGCCCCATATGGGGCTCCACCGGAGGCCCCAGTTGCAGGGTCCGCCTGTCGCCACTGCACCCACTTCGGCACACCCCTCACACGCTTCGTGGCCCTATGGGGAGCTCCTGCATGGCGCCACCGCACCCATTTTGGCACACCCATCACACGTTAGATGGCCCCATGGGGAGCTCCACCGAAGGCCCCAGTGGCAAGGTCCGCATGTCGGCACACATCCCACACGTTTCGTAGCCGAATGGCGTACCCGCACCCGACTTGGGACCTCCCTCGCACGTTCCGTGGCCCCATAGGGAGCTCCCTCTTTTTCGTACCAGTTGCCTTGCGGTAGTCGCATCCGCATCCGCATACGCTTATTTTGGTCATCCTTCACACATTGCGTGGCCCATTAGGGAACTCCGACGCCTGAGCGCGGTAGTCGCAGTTGCGTATGATTGGGTTCTTCGTCAGGCAGATTCATTGGATGACGCCGCACCGCCGACCCCTTGGGGCGGCAGTAAGAGTCAAAAGCGGAGTTCGCGGAACGCGCGCGATTTCTGGGGAGTCTTGGGATTTTAGCTTCTTGGGATTTCGTCGGGGGCGGTTGGCGGATCGCGGCTCTGCTCTTGGGCTTCTCTGGTTTCTCTTGGCAGCATTTTTGACGCCTCTTGGGGGCCGTGTTGAGGCCTCTAGGGGCCTCTTTTTTGGGCCGCTCGGGGGCCTCGTGGGAGCCTCTTGGGGGCCTCTTGGCGCCTCCTCCGGTTTTTTCGGGGCCGAGTGCTCGAAATGTCCATTCGGGTTCCCCCTCTGGGCCTCCTTTTGGGGCCGTCCTGGGGCCCTCCTGGGTCGTTTTGGAGGCTTCTGGGAGCCCTCTTGAGGGCCTCGTGGGCTATCTTGGGTCGACCTTGCAGGCTTCTTGGGCCGTTGTGGGCCTCGTGAAAGCCCAAGAGGCGAATGTGCTAAACATATTTTGCCCCTGGGGAGTGGGACGAGTTTTGGTTCTGGAGGGCCCCTTGGGGCGCCTCTTGGTGGCTTCTTGGGGTGTCTTGGGGGCCTCTGGGGCCGTCTGGAGGCAATCTTGGGCGTCTTGGAGCGATCTTTCGGCGACTCGGGCCCTCTTGGCCCGTTCTGGGGCCCCCTGAGGCTCTAAGGGTGCGGTTGGCACTTTTGCTCCCCCCCCCTCCAAACCGGCCCGACCAAGCGTCTGCTCTGGCCCAAGCGTGAAACGCCAACGTACGCGCCTCACCGGATCAACTTTTCATCGAGTTTGCCTTTCTGACGTGCACGCCACGATGGCCCAGAAGGAGCCTGCCCGAACGTGCTTGCAGATCCCTCTCCTCGCCCACGGCGTCTTCGGCACGACCGTAGCGGCGACCCTCAGCAGGACACCGTGCTCCTGCAGCTCGGCACGGACGCCACGAGCTGCGACCTCGCCCGCGGCAGTTCCCTGGAGGCTTCTTGGTCATACACTGTACAGGTTGAGGATGCGCTTTGCACAAACCGTGGAGGCTTTGGGGGAACAATCAGTTCTCAACCAACGTAGGCTCGCACAACGTTCAAGCATGTGCGAACTATGGACGGCTCTTGGTTCAATCATGGACGGTCTGACGGCTGGTGCGACTGCGTCAGGCAAGCGGACGGCGATTGCTCACCCAGTTCTTACCCAGGCTATGATGTCTACAAGATCCAGGCGACGCCAAGTCCGACGCCAAGTCCTGCGCCAAGCCCGATGCCAAGTCCGACGCCAAGCCCGACGCCGAGCCCGTCGCCGAGTCCGACGCCAAGCGCGATTCCAAGTCCGACGCCAAGTCCGACGCTAAGCCTGACGCCGAGCCCGACGCCGAGGCCGACGCCGAGCCCGTTGCCGAGCCCGACGCCGAGCCCGACGCCAAGCCCGACGCCAAGTCCGACGCCAAGACCGACCCCGAGCACGTCGCCGAGCCCGATGCCTGTGGCTTCTTGGTCCTACACGGCACAGAGTGAGGATGCGCTTCGCCCAAACCGTGGAGGCTTTGCTGGAAGCAATCAGTTATCAACCAACATGCGCTTGCACGACGTTCACGTGTGTGCGAACCATGTGCGATCCGTTGCGTAATGGCTTTCGGTTCAATTATGGGAGGTCTGACGGCTGG